AATGAAGTGAACAAAACTGCATATTAAGAATAAATCTTTTGTATGGATGATGGAAAGGAAAAACTGAATATGAGATTGGTTGGAAGGCTGTTGCAATTTTAGTCTCCAAACCTTTATGCACTGCTTAGGAAAAATTGTGTGAGCACCTGCAATATGAGTATATTTACTTAATTGAAATTATATTTACATACTGTTATACCAATAATTATATGTATTTTAAAATATAAAAATGAAGAGATAGAAATTTTTATAAGGATGAGATCAATATTTGATTTTAGATTCAATAGGGAACCAATGGAGTTTATTGAATAAGGAATTGACATGGGTAGTGCTGCACTTTCAAATACTCTTAGGGGGTTGTGTGGAGGCTAGATGGGAGAAGGACAGACCTGAGCCAGAGAACAATTTATAAGATATTGAAATAACTCCCAGCAAGAGGTGATGGCAGCTTTGTTAGTAGAAAGAAGGGGACAGATGGGAAAGGTGTTGTGGACAGTATTTTGGTAACTGATTTGATATGTGGAGTGAGGAAGAATGAGGAGTGGAAGATGGCACAGAGGTTATGAAATCTGGGGTGCCTGAAAGTATGGAATTTTCACAGTAGTAGGGAAATTTTGAAGAGTAGTAGATTTAGGGGCAAAGGTGTAATGTAACAGATCTGGGATAATAGGTTGTAATTTGTAGGAATTATTCTGTCCCACCTGGAACAAATGGATGAAGGGATGACTTTTACATTTTCTGAGATATATATGTTGAGAAGAAAGGGAGGGGCAATTTTCCCAATGGCAGCTGCTGCTGTAGGTGTCCTTGGAGTGAGTAGATGCCCAGGTCTTAAGTGGGGAGGTTAGCAGCCCATACAATGAAAGGAAGGCAGAGTGGGAGAATTGTTAAAGGATAAAGTATAAGAGGATTGAATCTGAGAGAAGCCGCAGGATTGGCCGTTGCTGGGAAAGTGAGATGTGACATATCTTCTCATCTACTAATTGTTCAATTCCTTCAAACCCTCCCAAACATGTGTTCTAAGAAACAAGTAACAATGTCTTTAGCTCATGCTATGCAGTGAGAATAAAAAGAAGGTGGAATGGATGAAAGTGAGAATTTGTGGGAAAAAATTTGGTGAGGGGATGTGGTGTATGAGGAAGAAGGAGGATTCAAAGATGGTTCCTAGGTGGCACAGTAGATAAATCCGGTCTCAGACTCTTATTGACTTTGTGACCCTGGACAAGTCACTTAACTGTATTTGCCTGAGTTCCTCATTTATAAAAATGATCTGGAAAAGGAAATGGCAAAACTACTCCAGTAACTTCCCAAGAAAATCCCAAATGGGGTCATAAAAGAGTTGGACATGACTGAAAAATGGAACATCAAACAGTTTTTTAGTGTGTTTATCAGAGATAATGATAGTACATTATTAATAGAAATAGTATAGTTAGAAGAAGGAGCCAATAAATTTACTTTTGGCGCTTAATGGGAGAGGGTAAAACTGTACACTGAATTTGGAGTTGGAACATGAAGGTAAGTGAGCCTCATGGAAAATAGCCATATTTAAAAGGCTTTAGGGATTCTCCTACACCACCTTGTTGTTGCTGGTATTCTCAAAGGATATAGAGTGACTTTGATGTAACTTTATAGTAATAGAATCTCAGTATTTAAAAGAGACCTTTCAGAAATTATTTAGTCTGTTTTTCTACTCAGTATAGGAACCCTTTCTACAACATTCCTGATAGTTATCATGATCACAGTAGGCAGAGTTGTTGTTGTCGTTTTGTGTTTGACCATAGCACACCAGGCCCTTTTGTCCCCCACTGTCTTTCAAAGTCTGTTTCTGTGACTCTAATCTATTCATCTCATCCTCTCCTGTCACCTTTACCCTTTGGCTTCAGTCTTTCCCAACATTAGTTTTTCCAGTGAGTCCTAACTTCTCAATATATGACCAAAATATTTAAGCTTCAGCTTCAGTATTTGACCTTCCAGTGAATAAACGGAATTAATTACTTTGATTACTGACTGATTTGATCTCCATTCTGAAGTTCAAGAGACTCTCACAACACCACAATTCAAAAGCATCAGTTCTGCAGCACACAGCTTTTCTTAATAATCCACCTCTCACAGCCATACATTGCTAGTGGACAAACCTTAGCTTTGACTATATGGACCTTTGTGGAGAAGGTGATGTCTCTGTGTTTTAGTGTGCTTTCCAGATTTGTCGTACCTTTCTTTCTAAAGAGCAAACATCTTTTAATTTCATGGCTGCAGTGGCAGCCTACAGTGATCTTTGAGTCCAAGAATATAAAATCTAACACTGCTTCCATTTCTTTTCCCTATACTTGCCAGGAAGTGATGGGACCAGTTGCCTTGATTTTTAAAGGGTTTTTTTTTTTAAATCTTAAACTTTAAGCCAGCTTTTACACTCTCTTCTTTCACCCTCATCAAGAGGCTTCTTAATTCCTCTTCACGCTCTGCCATCAAATTGATATGATCTGCATATCTGAGATTCTTGATATTTCTCCAGGCTTAATTCTAGCCTTGTTTATCCAGGTTGGCATTTTTGCACAATATACTCTGCATATAAGTTAAATAAATAAATCGACAATATACAGGCTTGTCTGAAGTGCTTTTCCATTCTTAAACTTATCAGTTGTTCCATGTTTGGTTCTAACAATTGCTTCTTGGCCCACATACAGGATCCTCAGAAGACAAATAAGGTGATCTAGTACTCCATGTCTTGAAGGACTTGCCACATTTTGTTGTAATCCACGTAGTCAGTGAACCAGAAGGAGATGTTTTTCTGGAACTCCCTTGCTTCCTCCATAATCCAGCAAATGTTGGCAATTTGGTCTTTAGTTCCTCAGGCTCTTTGAAAACCAGCCTGGTCTTCTCTTTGTTCTCTGTTCACATGTTACTGGAACCTGGTTTGCTCGCACAACCTTTATTTATTTATTTATCTATTTATTTATTTATCTGTCTGTCTATCTATCTATCTATCTATCTATCTATCTATCTATCTACCTATCTGTCTATCTATCTATCTGTCTGTCCATTCATTCATTCATTTATTGTTTTTCATTCATAAAATGTTTATTACACGTACAACAAACTTAATATGCATTCTCTTAACAATTCCACTTGGATTATTCACAAAAATTTCATAAGACATTAAACAAAGCTAGCCATCGTCTCATAGCTTGTAGACTTTTAAGTATAACCTTGTTGGTATGTGAAATGAGCAGAGTGATTTGAGCATTTTTTGCTATGTGGCCCTTCTTTAAGGATTGGGACAGAAACTGATCTAGTGGCCAAATTTGTTGGTATATTGAGTGCAGCACTTTAACAGTATTATCTTTTAGAATTTTAAATAGCTCAGCTGCAATTCCACCTTCACTAGCCTTCTTGTTAGTTGTGCTTCCTGAGACCCACTTGACTTCATTCTCTAGGATGTCTGGCTCTACATCAGTAACCACACTATCGCAGTTATCAGTGATGTTATGATCTTTCTTGTGTAGTTCATCTGTGTATTCTTGCCACTTTTTGCTTTTGTTAAGTCCCTACTGTTTTTGTCTTTTATCAATGCCCATTTTTGCATAAAACGTTCTCTTGATGCCTCTAACTTACTTGGAAGAGATCTCTTGTTTTTACTAGTTTCAAATACAGCCTGTTTTCATTGTTTGGGCAGCTTTTTTTTGTTTTGTTGTAACTTCTACTCATTGGGTTTGGCTGTTTAGGCTGTAAGCTTATTTTTCGTTGACATGACAGCTCTTCAGATATTTGAAGACTGAGATCTCTCTGGTTTTCTCTTCTACAAAGTAAACCAATGCCAACTTTCTTATAGCATTTAGTGTGCAGAATCTTTACCTTCCTGTTTGCTCCTTTCTTCTACATAATAGCTCATTTTGCTTGCATATTCAGCACTTTAGAAGACTGTTAAATATTAGAAGTAATTTTCTTACAATTAGGGTACAGAGCCATAAAGAGGGAGGTTAGTGCCTTGTGGCCTAAATAGCCAGTTTTTTCTTAAGTATTTTAAAGAGTTATTAACATTTCTTGTTCTTTTTTAAGACATTTTTTAAAACCTTAAACCAAAATTTATTTTAATACTCATTAATTTTTAATGAGTCTCAACTTCCTTGAGCTTTCAGTAAGAAGGTTCGACTAGATCAGGCCTGCATAACATGTAGCCTGCCAAAGGATTTCGGGTGACTGTCCAAAACTGTAGAGGGTTGCCACTTGAACACTCTCCTGTTTGTCACATGACCCACAGCAGCCAACCATCATCAGCCTGTCTCTAGTCTTATGTGTATCTGTGGCCTGGAGAAGTTTACAAGCTGTGCAGGTCTGGACTAGATGATCACTCAAGATTCCTTACATCTTTAAATTTGAAACTCCAGGGTTGGCTTTTAGGAAGTGTGAGGTGTCTTGTGGTTCAGTATAGTAAAGTACTACCATTTTAAAATATTGGAAATTGGAAAAAAAATTGGAAATTCCTTTGATGGAATTTTAAATTCCTTTCATCTCAATCACAGTAAGCTTTTTTCAGAAGATAATGTTAATTGATGGCACTTTGATAAAGATTTAAAAAGACTGATAAATTTTATCTAAACCTTTTAGCAGCAGGAAATATTTCTGATGGGGGTTTTTTAAAATAGATAATTGTTAAAAATGCCTCTGTTTATTTCATTTTTAGCAGTTTTTGTTATTTTTAAAAATTATATATTGTCATATGACTAAGTAAAGTTACTTTTACATCATTTCGTATATTTTATAGGACAAGAGACATATGCTTATTCATCCATGCAGTATTAACCGTTACTACAGACAAAATTAGCAGTCTAAACAATCCTTCTTTTTTACACCTTTTGGCATAGTGAATATGACAAGTGGTCAAGTTTTTTAAAGCTACTTATGAAGAAAGTTTATGATATAAATTTGACCTTAATCCTTAGTGATTATACCTTTTAAATCATGAATTTTAACTCATTAATTCTCATTTCTTTTTTTTTTAGTCTCAGATGCAAACACAGGTACAGCCAGTAGGAATTGTACAAACACAAGCAATGGCGACTGGACCTACTGCAGATCCTGAGAAACGCAAACTGATACAACAGCAGCTGGTGCTCCTGCTTCATGCTCATAAATGTCAGCGACGAGAACAAGCAAATGGAGAGGTTCGGGCCTGTTCTCTCCCACACTGTCGAACCATGAAAAATGTTTTAAATCACATGACACATTGTCAGGCTGGGAAAGCTTGTCAAGGTAAGGGTATTGTTTCTAAAATCCCACTTGCAAGAAAGTTACCACGAAATTTTTTCCGTATTAATCATTGCATATTTGAAGTAGCCCAGTCAGATGTTTTTTACATTTCTGTACTCTTAACATCAGGTAGCAAATACCATCATAATAATTAGCTGTTGGATAGGAGGATGAGACATCATTTCTCAGGGTCATCATGTGAAGTTCCTATAGGACATTGTATTTTGTGTTCACAAGCATGTTCTCTTCCTTCTTTTCCCCCGTTGCCTCCCAATTGTCATTTGTGAAATTCTTACAGAACTTTACTTTATTTTGCCAATCACTTATTTATAACATTCCTGTTGAAAGTACCTGCCTTCTGGAATACTATTTCAACAGCATTCTATTTTTATAGATCACAATAATTAACATGAGGGCAGGATATGTGTATTTTGTTATCTCCATTATCACAAATTTTGGTTGTTATATTTGGGGCTGGTTTTTTTTTTGTTTGTTTGTTTGGTTGGTTGGTTAGGCAGTGGGGTTAAGTGACTTGCCCAGGGTCACACAGCTAGTATTATGTGTCTGAGGCCGGATTTGAACTCAGGTCCTCCTGAATCCAGGGCCGGTGCTCTATCCATTGCGCCATCTAGCGCCTCAGTTGTTATATTTGTAACATTGTGTTTATCGGTGTGTTGAGGTCACAAATTTTCTTTTGAATGATAGACCTTAATCCAAATCATGAACGTTTAATCTTCAGATATCTTGACTATATAAACCCAGCTGCCATTATGTATTTTGTCCTAGATGTGTCCCCTTCCCTGCTTCAGACAACAACTAAACTTCCTGGTAAGCTAGTTTTGCTAAGTATTAAATGACAAGTGAGATGGTTCAACCTGTCTTTCTCATCCAGATTTCTTCCCTTTTAAGGGGGCCTTATTTGTTCGTACTCCGTCAATTTTCTTATCATCATCTGACCTAACAGTTCACATTATATACGACCTATAATTTGCCAGGTAACTGTACTAAGCACTTTAGAAATATTGTCTCATTTAAACCTCACAACAATCTTAGGAGAGTAGTTGCTATTGTTATCCTCATTTTGCAGAGGAGGAAACTGAGGCAAACAGAGGTTAAATGACTTGCTCAGGGTCACATAGCTAGAAAGGCTGAATTTAAATTCAGGTCTTCCTACATTCATCTTCAGTGCTGTATCTACTGTGCCAGCTAGCTGCATTTTATGTTTTAAACTTTAGTCAGCTTTAGGTGAAGTAGTTTTTCTCATATGTGCACAAATATTTATCTTCCTTCAGTTTTACCTATATAACTCTTTATCTACCTTATCCTCTATTTCCTTAAATACTATCACTCAAGATCAATTTTTTAAAATTTCTTAAGAAAAACTTTTTTTTTAGTACATTTTATTTGATAGTAGTGTTCTGATATTGTTCGATGCTGTTCTTCACTGGCAATGTTCAGTTTCTGATTCTGAGTTTAACAATTCAATTCTCAGTTTAACAGTTCAGTTTCTCAATTTAACAATTAATGTTCAGTTTAACAATTTAAATCGAGTTTTGTTGGGCTGAACCTAAGTACCATTTCTAATATTTTAATGGGAAATTAAATGCTTACTTTCAAACAACTGGCTTACAGACCTTTGTAATCCATCATTTGTGTCAGTTGAGGTTTACCTGTTTTTTTTCCCCTTAATTAGAAGTTAATTGCTATTATATCTTCATGGAAACTTAGATTTGTGATTTTATTTGTTTAGGTATTCACTTCACCAGTGCAGGCCCAATGGACAGAGCACTGGGCTTAAAATCAGGAAGAGTGATCTTCCTGAGTTCAAATCTAGCCCCAGAAACTTGATAGCTGTATGACCCTGGACAAATCATTTAACTCTCTTTGCCTCAGTTCTTCATCTGTAAAAATGAACTGGAGAAGGAAATGGCAAACCACTCCAGCATCTTTGCCAAGAAAACTCCAAATGGGGTCATGAGGAGTCAAATATGACTGAAACTATTCAACAGCAATATCAGCACAATATTTAAGTTGCCCATCTATTGTTCTTCACTTCTGGTGTAAAAAAATAGTGGGCTGGTCATGTTTGTCCTTTATCTTTTATGATATAGATAATCATGATAGCATTCTTAAAACTACTATGCGTATTTTTATCCCGTTTTTGGTCACCTGCAATTTTGATTATTGCAGCAATGATGATCCATGATTTTCAACCCACATATTAGAATTATGAATATAGATGTACTTTTTGAGACAGTGAGCAGCATCTTACTATCACTGGATCACTATATAGTTTTCCTAATGTTGTCTGACCCAACTTTCCCCTCTCCTTCCTGGATCTAGTTCATTATCCATTTGTAGCATCTGTCCAAGATACATCGTACTCATGAACCCAGTGCTTTCCACCAAATTGCACGTGCTAATCTGGACAATAAGCATTCTTCACTTTGTTTTGCGTGGTATAGATAACCAGGCCAGTCTTAAAATGACAAGTTACATAAATTACGTAGGTTTCATCAAAGAAGTGCTGGTTTTTTCCAGGGCTTGATATAATCAGTACAATAAGACCAGTAGAATCTCTCCATCAGAAGGAACACCTCCCTATTTGTCTTTTGTGCAAGATATTTTCTTTTGACACTGGCCTACCAAAACCATTTTTTGGTGAACATACTTCCTCTTTTTTTTAAAGATGGTTTGGTTAATATTGATAATCTGTGGATTGCTCAACAAAGTTATCTCTGTTACACTCTTATGGAAACTTGAAGGTTAACATATGGGAAACATGATAAGAGTTTTTAAAGGCTTATTCTACTGAGTCTTGGGGTTGGTGAGGCAGTTCACAAATATGCATGGCAGGTTTTTAAATTGTTCCCAACTTTGTCCCTTGTGTAACTGCAAAGATGTGATCTATCGTGGAAAATCATTTGTGAAATAAAACATCTTTTCCTTTCATGTTTATATAAAGGTTGCTCTTGATGTTCTGAATCCTTTTCACTTTGTACTGTGTTGGTGATCTTAAGAGTTCCTGTTGGTTTAGTTATCAGCTCAGTTCAGATGACTTTCAAATCTTTTTCTCTAACCTTCCTCTCTATAGAGCTCCAGTTATGCATCAGCAACTTTCTATTGGACAGTTTAACTTGGATATTCCATAGACATCTCAAATTCTATATGTCTAAAATAGAACTCTTATCTTCTGCCCTCTACCTATTCTATATCCAAATTTCCTTATTTCTGCCTAGGATACCACCAACTTTTTAGACTCTGGTCTCTCCCCTGTCCAGTCTACTCTTAATACAAATGCTAAACTCATGTTACTAAAGCCAAAGGTCTGACTCCCTGTCTGATGAAGCTTCAGTGGCTCCTCATTGTTTCTAGGATAATATAACAAATACTTCTTTCTGCCATTTAAAGCCTTTTGCCATCTGGCTCCACCCTACTTTTGCAAATTGAATGCCTATAACTACTGAATTACTTACTGGTTTCCATACGTGGCATTCCATCTTCATACCTATTGCATAGTATACCATATCCCTCATGTCTGAACTGCTTTCCTTCATTCTCTCCACTTCATAGAATCTCCAACTTCCTTCAAAACACAACCCAGAAGACCTTTCCTAATCCACTAAATTGTTACTGCTTTCTCTCCTTTTATGCACCGTACCCCTAACAAAAAAATGCTTTGTATGTATTCAGTATATACCTTTTGTATATACCTACTTTTAAGCATAGTTTTTGCCCCTTGATAGAATGTAAGTACTTGAGGAAAGTGACTGTTAAATATATTCCTGGCACACAGTAGACCCATAACTTGTTGAGTTGAATATGTTATATATATTTTTTGTGCATAAAGGGATTGGTTTTATTTTTTAAATTAAATTTTTTTTCCATAACAGACATTTATTTTCTTTCCCACCACCACTTCCCATTCAACAAAAGAGAAAACAAAACCCTTGTAATAAATTTGCATAGATAAGCAAAATAAAATATCCGTGTCTAAGAATGTATTTCATTCTGCATCTTGAGTTTATCATTGATCCTCTGGATAGTGATTGGTTACTGTGTTGATTGGGGTTCTTAATTCTTTTCAAAGTTTTTTTTTTCATGTTGTAGTATGTTACATAATGACAAATACATAATGACCTAATTACATGATGTTTGACATTATGTAAACATAATGCAATTATTGTTTAGATCTTCCCCAATTCTTATTCCACTCTACATTCTTTTTCATTTGGTTTGTTTTTAATTTATGAAATAAAACAAACATTTCCATAACATAAAGCAGTAAAAAACATGATTGCATGCGAATATGCACAACTTGCTATTCCTTTCAAATATCTGACACAGTTGTCATTTTTCCCTTTTTTTCTTCCTTCTCCCCCCCCTCCAAAATGGCTATCATTAGATATGAATGAATATATATATATATATAAAAAGTATGTGTGTGTATCTATCTGTCTATCTATCTATCTATCTATCTATCTATCTATCTACCTACCTATGTATATAGTAAAAATATCCTGTACATAGTTTTTATCACTTCTTTCTCTGGATGCATCTTTCTTCATATGTCATTTAGAGTTATTTGGGTATTTATAATAGTCAAAATAATTTATTCACTCAAAGTCATTCTTAAAACAGTGTTCCTGTTACTGTATACAGTGTTCTCTTAGTTCTGCTCATTTCACTCTTCACTATTCCATGTAGATCTTTCCATGTTTTTCTAAGATCATTGAGCTTATCATTTCTTATAGCGCAGTAGTATTCCATCACAATTATATACCACAACTTGTCCAGCCATTCCCCAATTGATGACATTTTCAGTTGTTTACCACCACAGAGAGAGCTGCTATAAACATTTTAGAATGTATAGGTTCTTTCCCTTTTTCCATAATCATCTTTGGAAATAGACCTAGTAGTGGTATTGCTGAGTCAATGGATATAGGTAATTTAATAACTCTTTGTTCATAATTTCAGATTGCTCTCCAAAATGATTGGATAATTTTACAGTTCCACCAATAATGAATTAGTGTCTCAATTTTTCCATATCCCCTCCAACATTTGCTACTTTCCCCTTATATCATTTTAGCCAATCTGGTATGTGTAAAATGATGTCTCAAGTTTGTTTTAATTGGCATTTCTCTTAATCAGTAATGACTTAGAGCATTTTTTCATATGACTTGTTTCAATTTCTTCATGAGAAAACTGCTTGTTCATATCCTTTGACTGTTTATCAGTTGTGGAATGACTCGTATTCTTATAGATTTGACAAAGTTCTTTATATAATTTAGATATGATTCCTTTATCTGATTAACTGTTTATAGAATTTTCCCCCTGATTTTCTGCTTCTAATCTTGCCTACATTTGTTTCATTTGTACAAGAACTTTTTAATTTAATGTAATCGAAATTATACATTTTATACCTAACTTTGCTTTCTATCTCTTGTTTATAAATTGTTCAGCCATCCATAAGTCTGATAAGTAATATGTTCCATGTTCTTCTAATTTTCTTGTAGTATCTCTTTATATCTAGGTCACATATCTATTTTGACTGTATCTTGGTAAATGGTGTAAGATATTGATCTATACCTGGTTTGCCATACTGTTTTACAGTTTTCCCAACAACTTTTTTTAACCAAATAATGAATTCTTATCCAAAATACACTTATCAAATACAAAGTTATTGTGTTTATTTGCTGTTGTAAATTGTATGTATACTCTGTTAATCAGTTCCTTGATCCTTCCTATCTTTTCAGTCTTTTACACAGTACTTTTCTTCATGCATTCTATGGTATTGCCACAGAGTCCAGCTTCTCCTCCTCACACACATTATGCCTTCTCCTTTCACTGTGCTTTAACACTGTCTCTCTCCTATGCTTGGAATGCTTTCCCTGTTCACCCCTGCCTCTCAGTCTCTGGCTTTCTTCAAGACTCAGCCAAAACATGAACTTTTGCAGGAGGCCTTTCCCTATCTCCCTCATGTTTCTGATTCCTTGCTCTCTTTGTATGTGTCTTTGGTGTACCTATTTATGTTCATGTTGTCTCCCCATTTTAAGTTAATCTCTTTGATTTTTATTTATGTCTCTAGTGTTTTGCACATAGCAAGCGCTTCATAAATACATGTTGTTGTTTTCTCTTTAGTTGCTTTTTTACCATTTGGGGATATAGTGTTGTGTAATATTCCATCAGTTGTCCTTCATAAAATTTTACTAAGCAAAACTAGTATTGCTTTTGGTTACCCTGTCTTTCCTCATATTTTTTGTTGTTCTAAGGAGTTACTTGCATCTTTTAGCCTCTGTTTTGCATTGGTACATTTCTCTAAGAAATTGTTGTAGCAGCATCTTTACATTGTCCCATTTCCCATTTTTTCCAAGTTAACATCTTTTAAAAATAAGTCTAGCTAGAACTGAAGTAATTTCCTATAATGCCTTCTAATTTTATTTATTTATTTATTTATTTTTTGGCTAGGCAGTGGGGTTAAGTGACTTGCCCAGGGTCACACAGCTATTAAGTGTTATATGTCAGGGTTTAGATTTGAACTCAGGTCCTCCTGAATCCAGGGCCGGTGCTCTATCCACTGCGCCACCTAGCTGCCCCTAATGTCTTCTGATTTGGTCTTGATATTGACATTTACAGTAATGAGTCTAACATGACAGTACACACAGCTGATTCTGATATGATGCCCAGTAATATTTTGTTTCTTGCCTATTAAGATAGTGAATTTAATACTTTTAGTCATTCTTTATATCCTCCAGCACCTTCTACCTCTATTTTTAAAGAAAAAAATTATGATTTATGGTTTCAGCTTTTCTGAGCAGTATACAAATCTTCTTTTGCTCCTGAGCCGTATTTTACAGTATTTTTTTCTTCTCCTTGTAATAATTGAATATCAGAGTATGCTGACTTAAGTCAGAGGTCCTTTGCAAATTATTCATAAACTTTTCTACCTTTTCATCTGCTACATTTTATGTTGGGTTAAAAGCTGCAAATATCTTCATGGTAGCCTGTTTCTTTGTGTACTATTTTACTACATGCTGACTATAGCCCTTGCATTCCATGAAATAATGTCTTTGAATACACAATGAAACCAGTAACATTAACTTGCCTTTCTGAAGAGAAACTTTCTGCTGACCTTTTATTTAGTGCCAACTTTTTGCCTTTTAGTTTAATTCACAAACATCTGAATGTAGTACTTTAATGATTTGGAGGTATGACTTCAAGTATAGGCTTGGTGATTAGACTATGTGTGTCTACTGTCTAAGGGCCAACTTTGCTACATCTCATATAGCTCATCACCAGAAGGCTGACCACTAATTTATACATTTTTTTGTCTACAGCACTCCATAAAACAGGTATAAAAAGTATAAAATGACCCTTAGTACTGTGTGGACCCCCTTCTGCCTCAGTATTGATAGTGGCAAGAGTTTGGTAGCAAAAGGGGTAGAGGTACTAAAAATCAATAAATACTCATTACCTTTTGATAGTTCTAATGTGAAATCTCTGTCTAGTGATCAGTGAGTATAGTGTTGCAAGAACTGAAATATATTCACATTTATATTTCTATTGAAACCTTTTAAAATTAAATATAAAGTTTAAAATTTGAGTTGCAAAGTAACATTTCATTGTTTTTCTGGTCATAGTTGCCCATTGTGCATCTTCTCGACAAATCATCTCCCATTGGAAGAATTGCACGCGGCATGACTGTCCTGTGTGCCTCCCTTTGAAAAATGCCAGTGACAAGCGAAATCAGCAACGTAAGTGATCATTGTGGAAGATAAATATAAGTCAGTGTGTTTTTCATGGGAGAAAAAACAGACATAAAGGAAGAGTAGAGTGAAACTGCTGGCCATGGAATATAATGAAGATGCAAGATCAAGAACCAATGTTATTACTATAGAACACATTTAGCTTTGTGCAATATACTTGCACAGCTAATTTTTCTAAAATGGCATTTTGGAATTTCATGTTTGGATTTGAGCTGATGAAAAATAGAGAAGTCAGAGTTAGTTACCTTTGTATGTGACCTGAAGTTTCTTGCTGTACTTTTTTTGGGGGAGGCAAATCAACTTCAGATTGAACGTATCTAAGGATTTGAGGAACCAATTTATAACAAAATATCATTATCCCATGTGAAAGGCATACTAATTTGAAATGGAAAAGTCTTCATCTTTATTGGTCACTTCTGTGAGAAATATATTTGTTTTTGTCTCCATCTCAAAAATCAAATACACATATGTGCTTCTGTAGCAGTTTCAGTAATGCATTTAGACTCAGGTCGTTCCTTTGTCACTAAATCTTTCATGGCATGATTAGACTTAGGATTTATATAGCATTTGACCAAATTGATGTCAGTGATTCATATTTAACAAGAAGTCCAAAATAACTGCCTCTTCTGTGCTCTGGTGTAGACCTGGCCTTATGTAGTTGAACATCTTAGTGTGCAGTCTGATTGTACAGTTTTGGCAGGGAGTAGTAAAGTATACCGTTGTCCCCTCCTTACCTTTTGTCCTGCCTTTTCAAAGGAGTCCCTGTGTCCTTTTCTAGTTTTTACTTGGGTCCCTCCATTTTGAGTAATGAAATACATGTAAACCTAATCTGTTTCTCCGTTATCCTTTTTATTTCTTGTCTCAGTAAATATCTCACCATTTTCACAAATGCCAACCAGCCTCTTTTATTTTTTCAAAGCTAAATACTTTGTGTATGAATATCATCTGTTACACTTTCTGATTTTCTTACTGAAGTCTTCACTTTTGCCTAGAGTATATCTGCTGCTTTTATTTCAGTCTTTCTTGGTGTGGCAGTGAAGAGCTTTCAGGCACATTTGTTCTTGTAAGGTACTATGGATTATTTGCACTAACGATAGCAATGTTTCCTTGTACAGAGTTTTGTTATCACTCCTTGTATATCACTACTTGGATATTAACAGTAGGTGAGAAGATATTATACATTTACCTCACTTACAGTAACTAAGATGAGTATCTGGATTTGCTCAAAAGATAAATTGTGGTGGAAAGAGAATTTTTTACTAAGAACTTAATCACTTAAAAAAAACCCTGAGGTAATTTTCCTTTAAGGAGCAAACTCTTCTAATGTATTTAGGTTAATTACAGATTTCAATGTATACATATTTCAAAAAGCATTTGTACTGTGTAAGTGATATATATATATATCTGTTATCTGAATTTTTCTGGTAGTTGCTTCTTCAAAAATACTGCTCTTCCCTCTTTCTACCTACATTAGTGGTGTAGAACTGCAAAGACTGTAGGCGTGGGTGGATATTTTAAAGGATTCTTTTTTTTCCTGTTTTTTTGAGGGTGGTAGGAGAGGTAGTTGAGGTTAAGTGACTTTGCCAAGGTCACACACCTAGTAAGTGTCAAATGTCTGAGGCTGGATTTGAACTCAGGTCTTCCTGACTCCAAGGCTGGAGCTTTATCCACTGCACCACCTAGCTGCCCCAAAGAATTCTTGTCCACTCTATCTCACCCCCAATTTGTGAATAAATATAATGTGTGATATTTCACCCATTGAATCTGGAAATAAACATTTTTTTGAATAATGACTTCCTATTGATAGTATACGGTACATGAAAAATGGTGAACAACATTTTCAGCTCATATAGGCATTTTATTCTTAACTTTAGACTTGGGGGTGTGGTTTTCTAGGCAATTTTTATCTTTCTGAATATGCACTGCCACAGTCATTACAAACTTCTGTGATTTTTTTTTAGTCTTATGTGGTTTTTATGAAAAAAAATTTTCATGTGGTTTAAGAAAACAACCAACATGCTAGTAACTATGACTGTTGTGAAAATTGATTCAGTATAGTTGCTCTCAAGTGGTGAACCACAGCTTTTCTACTAGTCATAATATAGGGTGTTACAGGGGTGATTTTATAATTTGAAGTCATTGAAAAAGATAGGGATTATCATCATTCTAGGGTTCACAGTTTTTGACACTTCTCTGATTCATAAGATAAATGAATGAACTTTAAAATACACTTTCCAATTTAAAGTAAGTTTCAGATTTGAGTAGAACATATTTTATATCAACAAATGTTTTAATAACGTGTTTTTGTAGTTGAGTTGAACATATGAACTGAATGACGAAGAAATAATTCTTTTAGCAGGAAAAAGTGTGTGAACCAGTTTTGTTACCTGTGCTTTTTGTTTATTGTTTTTGTTGCTGAGCCTGTTTAAAAAAATTCCAACTGAATAAAGATACTTTTCCTTCCCTTTCACTACCTTAAAAAATACCAGCAAACAAATATAGCTTCCCTTCATTATATCATCACTGACAAAAACAACAAAAAAAACACCTTTTTGTTTTTTAAGAATCAAAAACTGTTCTGGGTCAGTGCAGGTATTTTCACATGTAGTTATCTAGCTTTGACGTAGTCTACATTACATTATTTTTTAAAATGTATTCTAGGGGCAGCTAGGTGGCGCAGTGGATAGAGCACCAGCCCTGGATTCAAAAGGACCTGAGTTCAAATGTGGCCTCAGATATATAACACTTACTAGCTGTGTGACCCTGGGCAAGTCATTTAACCCCATTGCCTAGCCAAAAAAAAATGTACTCTGGCTTTTATTTTTTTGCCTTGACACTTTGTTGGTATCTGAGTAGATTACTCATATCTTTTTATGAAGTATAGGTCAAATAATATAGTGCAAGACAGATAGCAGTTTAGTAAACTGAATTTATGCATATTACGAAGAACAGGCCCTATGGTCTAAATTGGGTTCTTCCAACTATTTTCAAATGTTTATTTCACATAGGGATCATTTGATAATCCCTTTAGAGATTTCTTTATTATAATAGATAAATTGAAATTGCTAACAAACTCAGAAACTAAAATTAAGATAGAGAAGGGACATTTCACAGATTTTTGCTTAGCATTTCTTTGTGCAAATCTATGGGTTCTTGTTATTTCGGAGCTAGAAGAGAGATTCTTAACCTTTTTCTATATGATGGACTCCTTTGGAAATTTTGTGAAGCTTGTGAATCCCTTCTTAGAATAATGTTTTTAAATAATTGAATGTATTCTGTAATATGTGTGTGTGTATGTATGTATATGTATGTATGTATGTGTGTGTATATATGTGTATATGTACATGTATGTGTATGTGTATATATGTGTGTGTGTGTGTGTGTGTATATATATATATATATATATATGTATGTATGTATGTATGTATGTATCTGTGTATGTACATATTCTTCCCTCCTTTGACCAGTCCAGATGAGAGTGAAATTCAACAAGACACTCCACCTACCCGCTTCCTTTTTTTTTTTCTTTTCTTTTTTTTGGAATTGGGGTTAAGTGACTTGCCCAGGGTCACCCAGTTAGTGTCAAGTGTTTTGTCTCAGGCTGGGTTTGAACTCAGGTCCTACTGAGTTTAGGGCCAGTGCTCTCTATCCACTGTACCACCTAGCTGCCCCAACCCCCTTCCTTCTTGTTTATATAGACTTTTGGAGGCCGTCTCCAGTTGTCCTGATGTGTATCTTGCTACTGTGATGGCTCTGGAGGACAAAGTGAGGCTGTTAGCTTTGCACAGACCTCCCTCACTTAAATACAATTTACTTGAAAGTTGTGACATCGCCTTCTTGATGTCATGGTCCTCTTCTAGAACGAAGGACAAACGACAACAATTGACAATTACTATTTATTGAATACCTGATGCAGGAGCCAAGATGGCGGAGTGAAAGCAGTGACTTGCTTGAGCTCTCCCCCAAACCCCTCCAAATACTCATAAAAAATAGCTCTAAACAAATTCTGAAGCAGCAGAACCCACAAAAAGACAAGAGTGAAACAAATTGCCAGCGTAAGACAACCTGGATGATTGATCAGAAAGGTGTATCGCGCTGGGCTGGCAGCGCAGCGCAGCGTGGGCATGCAGGCCACAGCAAACCTGGAGCAGGCCTCAGAGGACTGAATCGCGGGCAGCTGTGGAGGTGTCCAGACTCCTCAATCCACCAATGCCAAAGACAACTTAGAAGGTCAGTGGGAAAAGTCTGTTTCTGTCGGTGCTCAGAGAGGAAGGCGGGGTTTCAGCTCCATTCCCCAAGAGCATGGTGGGGGGGGGGCATCTGCTTCCGAGCTTCCGGCCCACAGACTGAGGGGGAATCCAGTGGCTGATCAGAGAGGGATTGCAGGGATCTCTTTGCCAGTGGTGAGGCAGGAATCTCTTGCTTTGCCTGTGTTTGGATCTGGGTCACAGTTCTGGGCGGCAGTGCTGGGGTGAGGAGGAGCGCTGGCGTAGTGGAGCTTGTAGTGGCTGTGGAGAGGAACCCCTCCTCACAGTTACGGGACAGAAAGGAGTAAACACCTCGCCCCTTATCATACCACCTTGGAAGAACTGAAAATTTACAGGTCCCTACAAGTATCTCTGAAAACAGCTATACAAACCCCTGAAGCTTGGGACAGTACATTCTTCACACTGGAAGCAGACAAAGACCTTAACAAAGAGTTTAAAACTCAAGTAATTGGCTGGGATCATGAGCAAGCAGCACAAAAAGAGTCAGACTATATTATCTTACTTTGGTGACAAAGAAGATCAAAATATACAACCAGAAGAAGACAACAAAATCAAAACTCCTACATCCAAAGCCTCCAAGAAAAATACGAATCAGTCCCAGGCCTTGGAAGAGCTCAGAAGGGATTTTGAGAAGCAAGTAAGGGAAGTAGAGGAAAAACTGGGAAGAGAAATGAGAGTGATGCAAGAAAATCGTGAAAAACAAGTCAACAGTTTGCTAAA